TAATAAACAGAGCATTTACTTAGATATTTGTATCTATAAAAAAGAACGTATAAGCATAAAAATGTCTTAAAATACATATATGTAGAAAAAGTTGTTTACTCAACATTCTATTAGTCGTTCCATGGAAATTCCACGGGTCCTGCTAGTGTATATAATTTTATCAATAAGAACATTACTTTAGTCTGATGAAGTCCTTTTAGAGGACAAAATGTGTTATATGGATATTTTTTTATTTTGTCATTCAGTTACCTAATTATGAACAAAAGAACTTTTTCATCTTTGGATAAATTTCTTTCGATTTTCAATTTCTATAAAATTACAAGACATATTTTTTAGTGAATGTTTTTTAGTGAATGTTTTTTAGTGAATGTTTTTTAGTGAATGTTTTTTAGTGAATGTTGGTATATGTTTCAGGACTTCTATTCCCTTCATCAGTCAAAGATTTACATTGATTTAATTCTCTGTAGGTTACCCAGATAAACACCTGAAGAAGGCTGGAGAGCACAACAGCTGAAACATTGTGATAAAACAACAAAGATGAAGACAATAGTCCAAATATAAATAGTGTAAATAATAACTACTCCCCACAGAAATTCAAACAAAAAATAAACTGTTAGCATAGAACTTATGGTTACATCTTGCCATTTCAACTGTAAAATGATGAGACCTTGCTACTAATCTAGTAGTATGCTTGAATTCATAAAGTCTAGGTACCATAGAGGAAAGTTCATCAGAACAAATGCCATTAACATAGTTATCAGATTAAGAAACTGTTAGCATAGAACTTATGGTTACATCTTGCCATTTCAACTGTAAAATGATGAGACCTTGCTACTAATCTAGTAGTATGCTTGAATTCATAAAGTCTAGGTACCATAGAGGAAAGTTCATCAGAACAAATGCCATTAACATAGTTATCAGATTAAGAAACTGTTAGCATAGAACTTATGGTTACATCTTGCCATTTCAACTGTAAAATGATGAGACCTTTGCTACTAATCTAGTAGTATGCTTGAATTCATAAAGTCTAGGTACCATAGAGGAAAGTTCATCAGAACAAATGCCATTAACATAGTTATCAGATTAAGAAACTGTTAGCATAGAACTTAAATGATGAGACCTTACATCTTGCCTAGGGTATTTTTCAACTGTTAAAATGATTATGAGAGACCTTGCTACTAATCTAGTAGTATGCTTGAATTCATAAAGTCTAGGTACCATAGAGGAAAGTTCATCAGAACAAATGCCATTAACATAGTTATCAGATTAAGAAACTGTTAGCATAGAACTTATGGTTACATCTTGCCATTTCAACTGTAAAATGATGAGACCTTGCTAAATCTAGTAGTATGCTTGAATTCATAAAGTCTAGGTACCATAGAGGAAAGTTCATCAGAACAAATGCCATTAACATAGTTATCAGATTAAGAAACTGTTAGCATAGAACTTATGGTTACATCTTGCCATTTCAACTGTAAAATGATGAGACCTTGCTACTAATCTAGTAGTATGCTTGAATTCATAAAGTCTAGGTACCATAGAGGAAAGTTCATCAGAACAAATGCCATTAACATAGTTATCAGATTAAGAAACTGTTAGCATAGAACTTATGGTTACATCTTGCCATTTCAACTGTAAAATGATGAGACCTTGCTACTAATCTAGTAGTATGCTTGAATTCATAAAGTCTAGGTACCATAGAGGAAAGTTCATCAGAACAAATGCCATTAACATAGTTATCAGATTAAGAAACTGTTAGCATAGAACTTATGGTTACATCTTGCCATTTCAACTGTAAAATGATGAGACCTTGCTACTAATCTAGTAGTATGCTTGAATTCATAAAGTCTAGGTACCATAGAGGAAAGTTCATCAGAACAAATGCCATTAACATAGTTATCAGATTAAGAAACTGTTAGCATAGAACTTATGGTTACATCTTGCCATTTCAACTGTAAAATGATGAGACCTTGCTACTAATCTAGTAGTATGCTTGAATTCATAAAGTCTAGGTACCATAGAGGAAAGTTCATCAGAACAAATGCCATTAACATAGTTATCAGATTAAGAAACTGTTAGCATAGAACTTATGGTTACATCTTGCCATTTCAACTGTAAAATGATGAGACCTTGCTACTAATCTAGTAGTATGCTTGAATTCATAAAGTCTAGGTACCATAGAGGAAAGTTCATCAGAACAAATGCCATTAACATAGTTATCAGATTAAGAAACTGTTAGCATAGAACTTATGGTTACATCTTGCCATTTCAACTGTAAAATGATGAGACCTTGCTACTAATCTAGTAGTATGCTTGAATTCATAAAGTCTAGGTACCATAGAGGAAAGTTCATCAGAACAAATGCCATTAACATAGTTATCAGATTAAGAAACTGTTAGCATAGAACTTATGGTTACATCTTGCCATTTCAACTGTAAAATGATGAGACCTTGCTACTAATCTAGTAGTATGCTTGAATTCATAAAGTCTAGGTACCATAGAGGAAAGTTCATCAGAACAAATGCCATTAACATAGTTATCAGATTAAGAAACTGTTAGCATAGAACTTATGGTTACATCTTGCCATTTCAACTGTAAAATGATGAGACCTTGCTACTAATCTAGTAGTATGCTTGAATTCATAAAGTCTAGGTACCATAGAGGAAAGTTCATCAGAACAAATGCCATTAACATAGTTATCAGATTAAGAAACTGTTAGCATAGAACTTATGGTTACATCTTGCCTTTTCAACTGTAAAATGATGAGACCTGAGACCTTTTTTAAAGTCAGGTACCATAGAGGAAAGTTCATCAGTCAGTTTATGTGAAACTGTGTGAACTTACATCATTTAACTGTAAAATGATGAGACAATCATGTATTATTTTAATGATACATGACTGATGATGACTGATGAGGCAGATTTTTTCCTGCAGTATGTTGCCATTTCTTTCTGCGTTAGACCAGTTGCCATCCAAGGCTGTAGAACCCACTCTATCCTGCTATTTACCCATAGCTGCGGGGAGAAGAAGAGGATTCATACCTTTCCTAAGGATATTAGCATGCAAGTAAATGTAATAGATTTGACTGGAATTTGAACTCAGCTCTCCAATTCCTCAATCTGAGCTGCTATCGATTACTCCACCGTAATGACTATAATGCCACTATTACCATTATAGTTGGTAGTAGCATTATTTATTTATTTGATTTTTTACAGTTTATCAACCTTTTGTTAAAGCTGAAACATATGTCGGGATTGTAAGAATATTTTTTTGTCGGGATTGTAAGAATATTTTTATTTGCAAGTGAACAAACAACCTCTACAGGTTTTGAATTCAGACCAGTTGTCCTTCAAGGCTATAGAACATGGTCTGTCCTGCTATTTATCCATAGCTGGAGGGAGAAGAAGGGGTTTAATACCTTTCCCAAGGGTATTACCATGTATGTGAATATGATGGATTTCACTGGAATTTGAACTTGGCTCTCCAATTCCTCAATCCAAGCTGGTATCCATTACGCCACCATGCCTCTTGTACTCTGTCTAGTACTGTGCTTAAATTCATGAAGTCTAGGTACCATAGACAAAAGTTTATCAGAATAATTTCCATGAAAGTATTTATAGTAAAGGCATAAGGAATCTATGTTTGTGAGAAAGTGTCTGAAGACAAGATGCCAGATACGAATAACATTGCATTTTAGAAAATTAATTTCTAAGAATTTTGAATTATTGTTCATTCCAAGATTATATTGTGCTATGTAATTTGAGCTTAAAAATTAAATCAATGCAAATCATAGCTGATGAAGGGAATAGATATCTCGAAGCATGTACCAACATTCAATAAAAATCTTTGTATTTTTTTTTTTAATGCTTCAACTATAAATTACAAGACCACTTTTTATCATCAGTTTTTTTTTATTTCTCCAATTTATTAATGGAGATATTTTGCATGTAATTTAATTCAATATAGAATGTATTTGATATGGTTTCTACAAATAATCTTCTACAATAATTTTCTACAATAATCCTAGAAAATTTCCTGGGCACTGGATTCAGTATTTGTTTGTGTTTTGTTTTTATGTCAGCATGAAATTAATTCTACATGGTCTGTCCTGAAAGGATTCAGCCATTTAATATTATTTGAAAAAAAAAGGTAGCCCACCTAGAACAATGTTGCCTTACTCCCTTCAAAATATTCTTGCTAGGACTGCATATATATATATATATATATATATATATATATATATATATTATAAAATTAATTGATATATATCGGATTATATATCTTACTGTTCTTTCTTTCTTTATATATATATATATATATATATATATATATATATATATATATATATATACCAACATCTTTTTATTTTTAAAAGACTGTGTTTGAAGTTCACTCTAAAGACTAACATCAGCTGTCTTTTGACGTTCATAATATTAATCTTGTACATAGACTGAAAACTCTTGCTTTTCCGTGGTAATTTTAGTTTTAGGAAACACAGCAAGAAGCCTAATCTGGATGGCAGATTGGCCGACAAATCTTGGTGATGTGTTATTCTGCTAAAAAATCCTTCTGCCGAATGTCATTCACTATGACCCACAATACAAAAGATTACTCAATGATATCTCATTGCTGACAGAACAGCCGCATAAGAGAGCAACTATCCATGCATGTGCAGTAAGGTCCCTTCTTTTTGGTTGCCAAGTTACATCAAGTCTTCACAACTGTTTCTTGAAATACTCAAAATGGCTTGCTACTTTCCGGACAGATTTTAAATATATCTTTTAACTCCAGGACATCAAGATTCATGGTTTTTCTTCATTTTTTTTTTTTTGCTCCAATTTTTCTATCCATTTTTTTTTTGGTAATATATTGATAAACTGTTTATGACAAATTTAACAACTCTTCTAGTTTTTCAGGTCAACAGAGGAGTCACTACAGCAAACCCTTTCTCACACTCTCCTACTTGTCCTCTAAATACCTTTTACCTTCCTTTTCTCCAGTCCCCTCCCAAAGGAGCAACCATCCCATACCGTCCAAAACCTGTAATGCCTCCAGTGATATTCGCTGGTGGACAGGCATATACCATTCAAGGACAGGTACCAGTTCCAAATCCTGAGGTATGTTCATTTAATTTTCCTCTTTCTTTTTGATTAATTTAAATTTTTGGCACTTACTTTAAATATCTGGCCCCACTGTAAAAAGAATGGAAATGAAATATTTTTTAGCAGTGAGCATTTGTTAAACCAGGAATGCACAATTAAAAAACAAAACAGGTTGTATGACATGCTACTATAAGACTATGATGCTTTGGAAAATAGCACTAAGTACTTGTTATTTTATACAAAACAAAGCACCGAAATTTCATGATGTCTTAAAAAATGTATATATATATATATATATATATATATATGTCAACAGCAGGCAATGTGAGTTTTGTAAAGATGTAAAATACATCCATAGCAATGGAAGTAAATTATAAAAGCCTGATGTAGTAATGTTAACATTATTAATAAGAATTGTTTTTAATGTTCTTACAAGGAGGTGCTGAAAAAGATAAATCATATTTCAATAGGTTACACTACAGCAGAGACTAAGATGAATGACTAAAATGTTTATGCTGGTTTGGAAAGAGCACTAAGTGCTAGTTAGTTTATAATGTATGGGACTGAAATTTTGTGGAGTCTTGAAGTAGACAATGTAAGTTTTATAAAGACATAACTACACTTAAAATAATTGCTTGGGGTGAAATGATAAAGAATATCAGTTTCTTTTCTCACACTTCTTGCTTGTGGAACTCTCTTCTGGCTCCAAGCTTTCCATCCAGCCAACTTTCATCATCTTCAAAAATTTAAATGTAATGTCAATCGCTATCTGCAGTCCTCTTGATTACTTTTTTTTAAATAATTGACCCATTTGTAAAAAGAATAGAAAGGAAATATTTTTAGCAATTGATATGTCCTGGAAAGGGATATATTTGTTTGAAGTAGCAAAGTAGTTGTTGACTACTGTAACCGAGTAGGACAATCTAGCAGGTAACCGTAATGGACTGGTCCTCGTCGTAGTGGTAGGCAATAGATGAAGACAATAGGTGAAAACAATAGGTGTAGTGAATAGGTGTAGGCAATAGGTGAAGACAATAGGCATCCCCTGTACATCCACATCAGTCTGTATTTATGACTGACACCATCCAATCATATTACTGTGAGGGGGAACCCAGGTTTATGCATATTCATTATGTCAGCAATAAGCATTCATTAGACCAGGAATGCAGAATTAAAAAAATTTGGGTTGTATTATATGCTACTATAAGTCTATGATGGTATAAAAAATAGCACGAAGCACTAGTTATTTTATAAAAACAAGGGGCTGAAATGTCATGGTGTGTTGAAAATGTATACATACATCAACAGCAGGCAATGTGTGTTTTGTAAAAATGTAAAATACATCCATAGCAACGGAAGTAAATTATAAAAACCTGATATAGTAATTGTAACATTATTGATTAGAAGTGTTATTAATGTTCTTACAAGGAGATGCTGAAAAGGATGCACTATATTTCAATAGGATACATTTTATTATATATATGTCAACAGTAGGCAATATAAGTTTTGTAAAAATGTATAAACATGTCCACAACAATGGAAGTGTTGAGTAAGTTATAAAATTCAGATGTAGTAATGTTATACGGAATAAATTCTAATAACTAAAAAATACTATTCTTAAAAGAGTGCTCAATACAGAGTTTATTCTACATTCAACACCATCACTTGATAAGACACCAGAAGTGTTGAAACAAAATGTCTATTTTTGTAGTGATTTTATAACATAGTTATGTTTATTCGAATAAATTAATATATATATATATATATATATATATATATATATATATATATATATATATATATATATTAATGACAACTGGGAAAAACGTCTATGAAAGTATAAAGTGAAAAAATATCCGATAATGCATTTTACCCATTTTGGGCTTCATAAGATCAAAAATGAAAAAGTGAATTGAGTGTGTATGTAATTGTGTGTTTATTTTCAAATAATGAGATCATATATTTTTCCAAAGCTGGTGTTGCTCATGACTAACAAAGAGAAAGAAAATGAGTGACTTCTAAAAAAAGTCGTTTGACATTTTATCTTCTTTGCATTAAGTGTTTGAGTCAAGAGATAGAAATCTTTCAGAATGGGTAGAAAATAAATGAAAAAAATCTTCTCCCCCAGCTATGGGTTAATTAAGACGACTTGTATCACTAAACTGTTAACAACTCTAAGTAAAAGCTTTATTTTACTAATTCAGCACTGAAAAATGTTTATTTTATTATAGTGGATGGTTATAAGCAAAAGGGGATATGGGATATGCATTTTTTTTTTTAATCATTTCACTCCAAGCAAGGTGGGAATGCCACTAGTATGCATGGTGTTACAGGGAGTTAAAGTGAGAGAAAAGACTGAGTATAAAGAGGATTGAGGAAAGGACAAAAGATGAACGAGATTCAAGAAGATAGAGATGGCAATTGATGTTACATTTAAATTTTTGAAGATTGTAGTTTTCAGGAAGGGAGTTCCACAGGTGGGAAGTGTGAGAAAGGAAACTGTTGGAGTAGAAATGGCAGTTGCATTTAGCTATTTCAACAGAAAACAGGTGGGACCTAGATGCCAATCAAGTAGCACATTTAAATTCATGTAATCATCTCTGCTTATTTAATTACCATAATATCCCAACTAAATTCTTACCATCTAAAAATATTTTCTGGCTTCAAATAACCCGTAAATTGTTGATAAACTGTAAAAAAAACAAAAAAACAAAGCAAAGTTAATCCTTCTAAAATGGTAAAAATCAATATTTTTTGATTCTGAGAAATAATGTGTCTTCAGTAAGGCCTAAAGAATAATAATCTTTAAAAATTATTCCCCCACCTCCTCCACTCCAATTTGTTCTCTGTTTTTTATGGGTGGATGCATCAATTTAAGTAGTGCCTATTTTTTTTAATTAATTTCTTTAAAATGGTGTTTCATAATAAAATCCAACTTTTTGTGGCTAAATTTTTTGGTTTTGAAAAATGCATGTATGATTTTAATGGAACCTAAACATTAAAAAAAAAATTGACTTCGATATCCCTGAATTTTTCAGTTAATATTTCTATAATTTCTACATTGTTTTAAAATAAGAGACTCTCTCTCTCTATATATATATATATATATATATAGAGAGAGAGATATGTATGTCTCTCTCTCTCTATATATATATATATATATATATATATATATATATATATATATATATGTGTGTGTGTGTGTGTGTATATATATATATATATATATATATATATATTTATACATGTATATATATATGTATATATATATATATATGTATATATATATGTGTATAAATATATATACATGTGTATATATATATATATATATATATATATATATATATATATATATATATATATATATACATATATATATATATATATATATATATATATATATATATATGTATATATATATATATATATATATATATATATATATATATATATATATATATATATATATATATATACATGTATATATATATACATGTATATATATATATGTGTATATATATATATACATGTATATATATATATATATATATATATATGTATATATATATATATATATATATATATATATATATATATATATATATATATATATATATATATATATGTATATATATATATATACATGTATATATATATGTGTATATATATATATACATGTATATATATATATGTGTATATATATGTGTATATATATGTATGTATGTATATATCTGTGTATATGTGTGTATATATTTCTTTATCATTATATACATAATATATACAAATATAGTTTAAAATTTGCTCTTTTTATAAGGAAATTGTGTTCAGCATCACAGATTGTATGTCGGAATCAACACTGGTCAGTTGATTGCTTAAGTTATAAAACTGCCATCCATCATTCAGTGTTAATTTCTATGTTCAACCTGTTTATAAATTTCTGTCTTTAAAAATACAGAGTCTGCAAAAAAATGTATACACACTTCAGAAAAAGAAAAACTTGTATAGATATTGAAATACTAAATTTATTCAGGTATCATGAGATTAATACAAGTTACCTTTGGACACTACTATCACAAGAGATGCGTGAAATTATGACTTTTAGCTTCCAGACATTTATTAATACAGTGATCTAATGCTTGGGCAACACTGTCTAAAGTGTCCAATGGTATTGCTGCATGTGCATTTTCAATTTCATGTCTAAAGACAGTCAATATAATTGGTTTCCTGCAATATACAACATTCTTTAGGGTCCCCCATAGTAAACAGTGTTATCACAATTTGAGACAACTAGAAAAGACAAGTTTTTTTCTTTCCTGAAGTCTGTATATATTTTTTGGTAGAGACTATATATATATATATATATATATATATATATATATATATATATTATTTCAAATATTATCATAGTGGAGGTTCTTATGTATTTATATATAGTACATATTTTATATATTTTTTATAAAAAATAACCAGTTGCAATATATAATTTTTCTTAAAGAGGTTAAAAAATATATTTTCATGATATATATATATATTGCACTATATAAAAGGTAATTTTTTTTTCTGGAGGGGTGAAAATTCATAAATTCATATGCATATATGATGTATACATGTGTATATATAGTATTTGAAATAGGCATCCTATTTTTATTTCATTTTTAAACATCTTTTTTTTTCATTTTTTACATCTATCAGTCTATTATTCAAAAATTTAATAAAAGAAAATTATCCTCCTCTGTAGGAGAAACAGACACATATATCTATTTTAATGTTAAAATGATGTGAGGTTTTAGTGGTATTTAAATTCATGCAAATGTATAGGATACATTTGAACATTTGATTTTTATAGAAAAGCCAAAAGGAAACTTTTAAAGTGCCTGAAAAAGATCAACCAGACCCTTCTTATGTTTTTTGTCAAGAATCATATATACAAACAATTTTCAATTAAAATGAGGTTTAAAATCTCAAGAGGATTTGATGAGAAATGACTCCATTGTACCAACCTTCTTTGCACAGCA